TGCAAAATTACTTTGAACAGGATCTGAAGCTAGATAATGTACCTGCATGCATTTTAAGACATCAGAGAGAGTTGGTGGCCAGGTGGCTTGCTGGGGTAATGCCATGTTAGATCACTGAGCTGCCAACATGTCAGATGAACGAGATGCTGGGTTCTTTTATGTGATTACACTCACGCTATCAGCATAATCTCATTTGAATAACAATCCACTTAGTGATCTTGCAGAGCAGTGCACCTCATGTGTCAGAGAAAGGCTCAAGGAGAGATATTTGAAACGTTATTCAAGTGGCCTTTTCATCCTGTACACAATCGGGGTCATATTTTCCCACACTGCTACGACATTATTGTAAAATCACCGTCACACTATTATTTTATGAAGGCCAATCAGTTTAAAAACAATGCAAATATTATCAGAGCATGTTTGTTTGCACCTTTTGCCACAAGTAAGTGTGGTTAATGCAGACTCGATGCCTTTCAAAAGTTATCTATTTAGTGTTTGAACATCTTAACATATGTTTCATTGCCGGAAAAGGTAAAACCTATCCTATTCTTATTTTGTATCATTTTGGATACTGGTAAAAAGGTCCCATAGCTATATCTAACTGTTCGACCTGAGCTACAAGTGTTCTGATACTTGCATTGTCTTTGTATTGTTCGCCTTTTGGCGTTATCTGGTCTAACACTGGTGAGAAAAGGCCATGAAGAAGGCTGTCTCTGGAGTAGACCAATCCGTTTCAAAGACAATGCATACATTATCAGAGAATGTCCGTTTGCATATATTGCCACAGCTGTGGGTGGCTAATGCAGACTCGATGCCTTGCAAAAGGTTTCTATTTGGTGTTTGAACATCTAAACACCTGTTTTATTACCAGACACGTTAAAGCCCATGCTTTTTTCCCCCATCATTTTGGATACTGGTAAAAAGGTTCCAGATATGTGATTTTCTCTGGCAGATAGTGGTGACCATGCTGAGACCATCTACTTTCTATCCTTCAGCACGTGATATATTTATGTTGGGTTGCTCAAATCTGAATCCGATCAAACCTGGGTTGTAATCCAGATTTCAGCTATGCGTGATTAAACCGGGTTTCCTAATGCAAGTGAACTGATGATGTTAATACACTTTCGTTGACTTCACACAAACCACGCAAAAAGCCTTTACAATTATCTTTGTCGATTTAGTTAGCATAACTCAGCTCTGAGTATTAAATATGTATGACTGCTTGCCATAAACATACCATATTGTATGTCATATAGTGCCGAAACGAGGCGTATTTAAAATTACTCCAGAAGTAGTTTTTGGACATTAACTCATGAAATAAATTATGTAATCAATTCTCAGACACAGAATGTTGCACGACTTGCTGTTATTGTTCTAAATAGAAATTTAGTTTATCTCATGCACCACATTTGTGATATAATTGGAATATAATCGAGGAAGAACACTGCATAGAACGGTTATGGTATCAACAATTCGGCATCCATTCATTCAGTGGATTTGTCAGCTTAAGTTGGCATTTCTTCTCCAATTTTAGTGTCAATAACGAGCCGCCTATGGATTGAATCCACAATATCCACTCAGGCTGGTCTAGCGGGAATCATACCATGAGATCAGCAATGCAGCCATCTAGAATACATCGTGAAGAATACATTTTCAGACAGACCAGCCCGGTTTTCACAGATGTATGCATTTACTGAGCCAATCATGCAAGACAAAGATCTCCGGTATAGCCTTAATCGACTTTTGGAACAAGTGCTATTAGCGAGCACTTAACGAAGGCCAGCATGGCACACGAGGGGGTGGGTGGCCAGCACCATGCCCGGCCGCCTTTGTCTCCTCATTGGCGATGTTTACACACTGCACCAGGTACTCATTTGAAGCTGAGTTGACCCAGGGGAGGCCCAGGACTGATTCAGATTATCTCCCCTGGTGTTGGCAGTGAGCAGAAATTGAACTCAGGTAGCTGGGTTTGTAGCGCAGCATGCTAACCACTACACTACCACTCCCCGCAGTCAATCATGTCCACACATACACACAAACACAGGAGAACGTAACGTTTTAAACAATGCCACCTCGGGTTCAATTACTACTATAGTGAGCCAATGACGTCTGTTTGTGTGTCCCGCGCGTGACATCACTCCACATGCCGCACCACCCCCGTCATTAAAATTCATGAGCAGGTGGATTTTTACACTCACGTAGAAAGGTCGAATGGAAATGTTTTTTTTTCGCAATTTCGCTTTCAGTTTGACATTTATTTATTGAAAGTGAATCTAATAAATAATTATATTCAACAACAAAGTGGATATGGTGTCTTTATTTATTTCTTCAGCACTTGAGACGAAATGTAAGTCTAATTTATGCTTCTACATTATGGTAAAATAGACATTTCTCGGTGATTTTCCAGATATTGTTTCGATTTTCAATTTATTTCAACCCCAGCGACCGAAAGCAGAAGAGAATAAAGTGTCAGAGCAGTGAATTTGAACTAATTGAAGGTTAAGTTATATACAGTGCTACAGTGACAAGAAGTGAGGTGTTTCATGACGTAGTTTTGTGCAAGAATCACTGCCATTAATACAGTGCTACAATGAACTGCAGTGAAGTGTTTTATGACTTCGTGTTGTGCATGATTCATTACCATTACATTTACACAAGATACAATTATACTCTGCTCAATCTTTTCGTAAATATTACAGCTTCGGTCTTAGGACGGGCAAATAAGTTAGTTCATAATAACACATAAAAGTAGGTGCTAAAGCTATGAAAGGGTTTTACATCTGCTACTGGTGCTTTAGTTAGATTGCGTAAAAAAAAACCTGTTTTATGGATGATATTGGTCGTTAAAGCCTACGTGTTAAACTGGTGCTTTAGTGCTTGCAAACTACATCCATAAAACAAGGATTGTACAAACACATTGTGTCCACTTTGTCCGCATTGGATCATGAACGTTGCAATGATTCCTGGATGTATTAATATCAAACGTGTCATGGTTATTTACGCTACATTTATGCTTATGGTGAACCTGAAGAAGTGTTCAATATTTTCACAGTGAAAGGGGAATTGAAATTGAAATGTAAGTTTAACAATTTTCATTGCGTGAACCCTACCTCAAATTATGGGTACCTGTGATACAATTACTCCCCATTTGCTGAACAGGAATGGACGTTAGCTGCTCAGCATTCAAGGTTAAGAGGTGTTCACGGTCAATCTTATTTATACCACCGCACCTTGCTATCACTTCCTTCCTTTTGCTAGAATACCCCAAGTGTATCAACATTAACACCCAACCTTCAGAGTCTGCTCGTGCAGGCTCACTTACACCATATGCATATTCCATCTTCATGCATAAATTATATTGTAGTACTTAGTAAACAATATTTAATAAGTTTACATCAAATTACTTCTTTCATCCCGATTCTTGATTGCATTGTGCATTTTTTCTCACGGTGTGTTCTATATATTTCTACATGTTGGATTGTTACTTTTTTGCTTTGCTTATTTTAAACCCATATTTTATAACCTTGGCTGTAAAAGGCGATATTTTCATCTAACTTTCTCTCTTGCTCTTTCCATTGGTCTCTGACCTCTAAGTACTCTCCTCCAACGATCGCGATAGCACAAGAGTCAATTAGGGACCCACTATTAAACACCTGGCAAAGGCATTACTAAACGTGCATGCAGAATAATTTAAACACATTTTGGTGAAAATACAACATTCCTCTGAATCTCTTCCAACTTCATTTGCCAATCTCTAATAATCTTTACCTCTAGATGGGAAATTGACTCATGACTGACTGATGGGGAAGACAGCTCAGATGTTTCTTGATCACCAATCAAACAGGGCGTCCGATTATATTCACTGGACTTTCTTCCCAATGTAAGATATAGTCTTCGTGAATTACCTTTCCATTATATTCTTTATTTTTGGAAACGAGTTTACAATACCTCACTTTCCTTCCCCGCACCTCCGATTAGCACGATTGGCTACATATGGTGCGAAATAAGTTCAACATACACACATACATGCCTAATTCATTACAACTATACAGGGTGGCCCAAACTTCAGGGCATAGGGTTATTTTGTTTATTTTAACGTTGGCGTTAAAACTTTGTAATTGTTTAATATTGAAGTTAAAAATGTATCTATTATCGTTATTAATATACATTTTTCTTATTCCTTCTCAAATAACATTTAAAAATAAGATTTTTTATTTCTACTAATGACGAATGAGTCCAATTAATTTGTTTTACGAATGTGAAAAAGAAGACAGCTTTTTTTTAAACAAAAAACGTCCTAAATTCATTTCAAAAGAAAGTTCATGCATAAAGTAATATTAACGGAAGTCAGTTTGAACATTTGTTAAGTAAATTAAATCATCCCATGTGATTTGTTGAAATAAATATAAAATTACCCAGTGCCTCCTGACTTTCGGGCCACATTATATTTATGCATTAAAGCATAATGTGACCTAATTAGCTATGCTTATGTGATGTTTAAATTACCAACTTATGTAATCAATAAAGTGACCGATATTGTAAGCTAACAAATAAGTATTAATAGGAAAACTGTAAAAACAACGAGCCTACCTTTACCCTACCTTTAACCTTACCACAATACAATCACTCTACCCAACCCTTTTACCCTTTAGCAGGTAAGGTAAAAGGTAAAAAGCAACGAGCCTACCTTTACCCTACTCTTTACCCTTACCCCTTGGCATGGTCGACACCTTTACCTTTACCTGGTAAAAATGGTAAATTACCTTACCTTGCCGAGGCCTAGATAACAGGAACACTCAAAATATACAGGTGTTAGGGTCGGAATCGAAGCCACAACCTCCTGCATACCAGGAGGTTGTGTGACAAAACCTTGTGTGACAAACCTTACTCATTGGCTGTGTCGGGTAGTGGCAGGTTTTGACACATTTATATTTATGTGATCTAATCGCAAAACAAACCTTTATTATGGATAATTTGGCCTCAATGGTCATCTAGCTGACCTCATGCTGAGAAGGATGTCGCCGTTGCGCGAGATGAAGAGCAGGATGTTCTCTTGCGTCACGTCGTGGAAGTTGGCCATCTTCTCGTTCGCGAAGAACAGGTCGGGTTTCCAGAGGCACTTGAAGAGCTTGGGGTCCACGGTGAGCATGTCCGAGCCGTGGTAGTCCTGCGGCAGCCGCAGGCGCGGGTCGTTCCACTTCTGTCTCAGGAAGATGTTCACGCGGTAGTCCTGTCGGAACACAGAGCAGTATGTCCAGGGAGTGTTACCGAAGTGTAGAGGTGAGCCCTGTAGCGGCTCGCTCACACTGCTGCTGGTCCTTACCTAGACGGAGCACTGTAGAGGCCCTTTAGAGAGTATTTTGACTTCTATTAACTCTTTTTTATTTTACCGCATAAAGCCCACTGAGCTACGGAGATCTTTTTAAGATGCGATCTGGCGAAAACTGATAGCTCAACGAAGTGGCTTATCGCGTGGAAATGTATAGCCACCAAATACTCTGAGGTAATGTCGATTCCAAATGTGGAGGGAAAAACCAGAGGGCCCAACAAAAAATCCACGTGGCCATGGCGAGAAAAAGATTCCAACTTCAAATTATTCAGGCGTCAGGGTTGGAATTGAACCTACGAACATCTGTATACCAGGTGAGGTAGTTAACATCTCGCCACCGTGGTGGCACAGTACACACCACTGTGCTATTGAAATAGGTTATAGATTCTGTCATGTGGAGAGGTGTATGGCCCAGGAGCACCCACAAAATTTGACCCCACCCCAAGCTACCCGCCGATTGACTAACTGTGTTGAACCTATGTGAAAAGCATCGGTGGAAAATACCTAAACTCATTTTCTGGGCTCAACTGTTAAGCATTGTTGGGTGATAAAGCAGTCGATTGTTAATTTATTATAAAATGTAGCACACAGGCTTAATGTGTTGCTTTGGTTTGATGTGCCCCTGAGAGATTATTGGCTTTGTATTGTTCCTTTGGATAGTGCACAGCTCTTCATTGAATGAGTTGTGTCATTTTTATAAGAAAGAAAAGCTGTCTGGCTAAAACTGCTCTTGATGTTGAAGGGACTTAATATCATCTCAAAGTGATAATTTTTCACCATATGTAAGAGTTGCAGAGTGGACAGAATTATCCTGTCTGCAAGTTGAGATATATCGATTAACTTTTTGGGAGCAGCACTAAGAATAGAATATGCCTCATAATTTACTTTTCTGCCACATGTCCATGACATACTTGGCAGCATCTAAAACTTATATCAATAGCACAGTGGCAGACACTGTGCTACCAACAGTGTGACCTGAGTTTGGTTCCCATACAAGGCTCACATCAGTGGTGAATAATATCTGCACTGGTTCTGGGATTTCCCCTTCATCAATCCGCATTGACTGGCTAGGTGAAGTATGGTTAAACATCCCCTATGGGCAGTAAAGCGTTGAGTACGCCTTCATCCAGCAGTAGATTGACAGAAGGGTTGAATGTAATATATATTCGTTGATGATGTATTTGTCTATACCGTATTTCTGACAATATTCTACATGCAGGTACAAATGAAAAATAATCTATTTTCAACACACCATATTTGATCCACGAGCAGTATGGTTCATGTTAAGGGTTATTAAATCAGCCAACCTGGGTTTAACCTTACAGAGCCAAACAAAATGCAGCAATACAGGTGTTGAAAAAAAAATCAGATGGGTTACAGAACCTCTCCAGAGTGGGATAAAAGAAAAAAAAGATGCATACAATTTTATCAGAAATCCATTCCAATTTTTTTGGCTCATCAGATTCCCACTTTAACCTGAAAACAATTAATTCCACTGCTTTACAACTATACTGCAATGTGATTACAATGCTTTTATACAAATTCGTAATTGATAACAAATGAAACTGGTACATGAATGTCAAAGAGTGGGCTGCAGTGATACCAAGGGATTTGGACAGGAACATTGCATTGGGAGAAATGAGGCCAGTGGTTTTCAATATCAAATAGAGAAAAATAAACAATAAAAACCCATTACAAACCTTCAGTCCAATCCCAAGGAAGCAGAACAAGTTTCTTCAGCAAAGAAAGTTTTAAAAGTACAGCCGTTCTATATTACATTTACAGGGCGACTCTGTTTTAACACAGCACATGAAGTGACTGCAAGTAAACTGTTAACAAGGAAGTAGATCCTCTTAGCACCATAGCGCAGGCATGGGAGTAGCGGGGAAATGAACGCGGTGATCCGAGTTCAAGTCTCAGGCATTGCTAACTTCAGGGGTGAGCGAATGCTGAATTGGTCCTGGGCATCTCCCTTCACCGACCCACGCTAACTAGGCTGGTGAATTATGGTCAAACAACTCCCACGAGCGACATGATGTGGAGAGGCCTTTACACAAAAAAAGATTGACAAAGCTGGAATGTACGATTACTTTGCGTAAAATGTTTACAACACTCTATATATCTGCAAATTGTGCTGTAGAGTTAAGTTGAAACGTCAGACCACAGCCACATAGCAGTTCAAGGTATTGCTTAACTTATTCGCAAATAGAATACGTGGATTTGCCATGGTTTTCACTCTGAATTGTAGAATCAGGTGAAAACTTAGACGCATTGCATGTGGCTTTGGTCAAAATCAAGTGATTCTGGTGTAGTTGGCTGGATCAGAAAATGGATATAGTACGAGAAAATGAGCCAACCTGGGCCCGAGTAGAAGCAAATTCCCCCATGATTATTTAAGGATCGTGAGTTTATTGTCTCAGCCTGATCACCAATGATTCTTACCAAAAAAAAACAGCACGTTATATTTTACTTTGTCACTAATTTTGGCACGTTCCAATTCTGAAGACTTCAACTGTTGGTGTTATGGTCATACGACCAACACTATTTGTGGGAGATATAAAATGCGCTCCACGTAATGTGCATCAGAGGTCTATTGAAGTGAATCATAAGCAGTTTTGTGAAGTCACCTTCCACACCCATTCTGGTGACACAAAGTGATGCCCTGCTTGCTTCAGCATTTACTTCTTTGTCTCATGACATGATGCAGATAGTACAATTTGGATGTAATTGGGACAAACCAGTCATTGTTTTCAAGTCTGTCCATAAAATGTACTCTGAAAATAAGTCTGCTGCAGCCACCTTGCTTTTAATTTAATGAGGCCATAGCAGGGAATGTGTTCGTTTTTTTGTTGTTCTGTTTTTATTCCAACTGTGCCAACAGCATTATTGCGTGAGAGAAAGCAACCATTTGGATCTCGTGCAGAGCAGCACATGACCCCCGTGCATTGGAGAATTCGTCGACGTAAATAATTGCCGTGTCTTGTGCTGTGCCTACATTCCGTGGCACTTTGGAGCCTGCTGAGTTCAGTGCATGGTTGTACAACCGGGCCACAAAGTATAAGTGGCACCAAATAAATAATGTAAAATTCCCAATTAAAATATCCCAGCACCTGCAGAATATGATGGGCACCCTCTCCATGGCATACTCTGAGTGCCGTGCCATCACGAGAGAATTATTTCTGCTGCTGGATTATTTTATTCCGGCATTCCTGGGGTGCCACGGTGGTGGAATGTTAACTACCTTGCTTGGTATATAGGAGGTTGTGGGTTCCATCCCGACCCTGACACCTGTATACTTGGAGTTTGCATGCTCTCCCCGTGATCCCGTAGGTTTATCTCCAAGTTCTCTGGGTTTTCTCTCCACATTTAGAAACATGCATTTAGACTATTTGGCTGATATACATTACCACCTGATAAGTCACTTCATTCAGGTACCATTTGTGGCCAAATCTCTTCTAAAAAAAGTGCTACGTAGCTCGGTGGGTATTACCTGGTACATTTTTTTTATAGGGTGGGTTGTAAAACGAATAAAATGTCCTCCAATAACCGCTGTGTGCTGTGTGACCACACGTATTCTATATATGCTGATATGGTAGGGCGCGGAGATTGACAATGCTTTACCGACCCAGTGTTAATATCGAGAGACGAGTGCCAGCTGCCCTATCGATATTAAACCCTCTGTTTACGATGATGATGCTCAGGGAAATTGGCATGGAGTCAGTAATTGATTGCCAACAAATTCTCCAATTTGGCTAAGCAAAGTGGTAATATTTAGCATGCAACTTTTGAAAGTAATTATCTATAGTCTAATGCAGATGTCGGCTACCAGAATAACAAGAAGAGACATTTGTTCTTCAAATTTCGTAAAAAAAAATAATCAACGTGTCAAGAGCCGCAATGCATTTAAACACGAGATAGTCCTTCATGAAAATAACGTCACGCAGCAGTGCTTAAGTAGCTGCTTGCGGCTTGGAGCCGCAGGCTGCTGACACTTGGTCTAATGGATGATTTGGCTAGCATTAAAAAAAATATATAATGCACAACCATTTTGCCATCCACTGCTGGATGAAGGCCTCCCCTAGCCATGTGCGTAATGGGGGGGGGGGGGTTGTTTGACCATACTTCACCATAGCAGTCAGTGTAGGTTAATGAAGGGGGAAAGGTCCAGGACTGGCTCAGATATCACTTGCCAGAGGTGGGACAAAGTCATTGTTATGCAAGTCCAAGTCGAGTCTGAAGTCATCAAATTCATGACTCGAGTCTGACTCGAGTCCAAGTCACATGGCTCGAGTCCACACCTCAGAGGTGGGACAAAGTCATTGTTATGCAAGTCCAAGTCGAGTCTGAAGTCATCAAATTCATGACTCGAGTCTGACTCGAGTCCAAGTCACATGACTCGAGTCCACACCTCTGTCACTTGCCATTAATTTTGCCCATGGTCTACAATAGAATTTAGGCCCCCAGGTTTACAGCACAGTGTGAAACCACTAAGGACATCGCTAACCCATTTTACCATTATCCTTAATTTTGTATTGAAATGCACAACATGCACCACTCAGTAGCACAGTAACTATGTGACATTCCTGGAATTTTCAACCGAAAACCATAACACAGAGAACAATTACCATGTAAAGCCCACGCTGATTACTTATACAGTAAGGGAATACGTATGAGGTATAGTTATCTTGCAAAAGTTTATTTATATACAAAAACAATTACTAGAGATAATTTTCAAGTTTTGGCTATGATAGGTCACTCAAGGTATTCACAGGGCAAAGTATTTGTTCACTTCAAAGTGGAATGTCATCATTGGTACAGCATTCCCTTGTTATTCACGAACTTTCTTTCCACGATATTGGCTATCTGCGAACGGCATCTGGAACTGTGCACGACTGCATTGA